ACACACACACACAAGAGGCATTGCATTTTGGCATATTAATGCTTGTTGGCCTAACATTCTCTTTGTATGTCATTTGTAGAAGCTGTTGCACATGCCAGAAAATAAGACATCCAAGAAAATTTTGCTAGTCCAGATTTTCCAAATACCTGCCCACTATATCGGACCATGGATCGACCTCTGAACTTGCCCTGACTAATGTTCTCCTGTCATTGCCCCTGCTCAGCAGGAAGCAGTTAAGATCAGGCTTTGTCCCAGTTCCTAATGGCAGTTAGGAATCATGTATTCAGAGGGTGGGAATATGATAGGAAAAGGATAGGATTCAGTAGGCAGAGGGAAAGATTAGGACCTGAGGTCCCTGAGTGGGAAAAAACACATATTTTGTAACAAGGCTGGGATGGTCTTCATAGCAAACCCCCTCAGGCTTAAGGTCTCTCTTTTGAATACAACAGACACCACCTACTCCCCCTTAAGTTCCCCTTAGGAATTTGACAAAAGACCTGACAGAATTGAACACAAAACCTATGACCCACAAGGAAGTGGTGTGGCCTTAGACTACCCCTCATACAATGGAAATGAACTAATCAGGAATGGACCCAGCACCTAGAGTTATCCAGCTAGTAAGGTAGAACCTGAGAAGGAACAAGGGGGAAGGGGAGAGAAGGCTAATCAGAACCTTATAAAACAAAGCCCTTTGCCTATAGTCACTTTCGAGTGTCCCCTCTCTGTAAAAAGATCTTTCATACTATTCTTCCTTTCTCATCTTATACTCTAATAAAGTTTTGTCTGCTGCTAAAAAAAAATATTTAAACTTACAGAAATTTCATATTTTTAATAGTTCTGCCCTCATTCTTAATGTTGAATGTCTCCTAAATTTTTAATTTCTTATAAAAATAATAAATATTATCCCGCAAATGAATTTTATATATTTTCACAGTTGAACTGAATAAAAAAGTTAAGTATGTTCACCTATTGTGCAAATTCAACTCATTTGAAAATAAATATGATGGTTTTCAGGTGTAAATCAATTCACATATACTAATGTAATATAGTATATTACAATATAGCATGGAAGTATAGTACAATACATATAATAGAAATATATAATATAATATAATATAATATAATATAATATAATATAATATAATATAATATA